AGTGTTTTAAATTATTTTTATAAACAGTTGATTTACTATAATGATTAACAGTTTGCCGATTAACCAAAGTAAATGTGTTACGATTCATTTGAAATACGGTGATATTGAACAAAAAATAATTTCAAACACTAATAAACATAAGTGTTGTATTTTAAAAACAATTTAAATTGTTTTATTCATAAAATCTAGCCTGTTTATTTTTCAATACCAAAGCATAATATATATAGACTATAGTACTAATACTATTACGTATACATTTTATACCATAAATTTATACTGTATTGTTATGAAACACTGCAGGAACGATACAGTATGAATATCATTTACAACAACATACATTGTAAGTTCAATAATAAATGTAACATAACTTTTATTCATGAGAATCAACAGGCAAGAATACATAATGAATGAAGCCGGTTTAAATGATATCTTATCTCATCAGTAAATCAACATTGTGTACATAATTTCACAGATGAAACAAGAGAACTGCACGCACTGAATGCTCGTCTGTTGAGGGCAAAGACTATCAATATTATAATATTATAATCAATATTGACAAAAAAGTTTAAAAGGGAGCATTACTGTTAATTTACATCAAAAATATAGCCCCCATTGCCTATCAACTGCACCTAGTCATGATAAGCAAGTATTCCATGTAAATGATGTTTAAACTTAATGAAGTTGATTACTTTAAAATATTTTTTTCAATGGACTGCATTTAAGTTTTTGCATGATAACAACAATGACAAAGTGAACATATATATTATAATGTACAATGCAATAGCTCGGTTTTTTCTTCAAAACAGACAAAAGCCTGACAAGTCACAAGAATGGAGAAGCTAAAAGTGGCATAAATTTACAAAACTTGTCTGTTTTAAACTAAGAACTTTCATGCAGCATTACTGCTAATAATGTAAAGTATTGGCATCCTTAATATGAATGTACATTGCATATTTATAATCCTTATCACAGTATCAATTTGCTGATCTTTTCACAGTGCCAGACTGCCAGTTGAACAAAATATATCATAAACAGTGTTCGAAATTAGCAGTAGTCCTATAGCCCCTGACTACTAAATTTCTTCTCGGGCTACCAACTTTTCACAGTAACAAGCCCGACCAGGCTACTGTATTTTCAGAGGCAATATATAAACAACTGTTTTGAACAAATGAATCGTGCTAGTGAAATGTCTTTTGGGCTAGTGAATATTCCAATCTGGTAGTCCGACCAGCCTAGTGGATTCAAATCTGAATTTCTTACACTGCATAAATGAATTGATTATGTATTTTGTGTCATAAATAAAATATATTAACAATATTTACTAGTCTACACTGTTTATATAATTTTTAATTTTAGGTATATCCTAAAAAGAACTGTGCTGAAGTCCCTTTAAGTTTCCCTCATGAGCGTATTATTAACAAGAGCTGTCCGTAAGACAGCGCGCTCGACTTTTTTATTGCTTGCCAATAAAAAAAGTTTTTGCAGTAAAAGGCAATACAAGAATCTCTGTATTTTTAAAGTGAACAATGGCCATGAGCATTAAGATATTTAGTGAAGAATTATTTTACTGAATTGTGTGATACCCTTGCACACTGCAGCAAAGTTTGAAATGTTTAAGTCAAAAGAGGGCTGGTAAGAAAGAAAAAAAAACTGAGTTGAGCCTTAAATAAATTTGGGAATCATGATTGTAAACAAGTATTCCAACTTTCAAATTAATATCTCAAACAGTTCAGTCAAAAAGTGGACTGGTACTAAAAACTTAACCAAGATTCTAAGTCGATAAAAGGCCCTAATTTTTAAAACAAATCCTTGACAGAGTTATCTTCTCTTGCGTACAGATGGGGGTAATGATGTGAAATAGCATTAAAAGTTTCAAAGCAATATCTCAAAGGGTTAAGGCAATAAGTGGATTTTACCCATATTCAATGTATTTTCTAAGTCAAAAAGGGGCATAATTCTGTCAAAAACCTTGACAGAGTTATGTCCTCTTGTCTGTTGATGAAGGTCGTGATGGTAAACAAGTATGGTCAGTTTCAAAGCAATACCTCCAATGGTTTTGAAATAAAGTGAGGTGGTACAAAAAACTTAACCAAGCTCAATACACTTTCTAAGTCAAAAAAGGGCCATAATTCTGTCAAAAACCTTGACAGAGTTATGTACTCTTGTCTGTAGATGGAGGTTATGATGGTGAACAAGTATGGTAAGTTTCAAAGCCATACTTGTAATACTTCTGAAATAAAGTGGGGTGGTACGAAAAACTTAACCAAGATTCTAAGTCGATAAAAGGCCTTAATTTTTAAAACAAATCCTTGACAGAGTTACCTTCTCTTGCGTACAGATGGGGGTAATGATGTGAAATAGCATTAAAAGTTTCAAAGCAATATCTCAAAGGGTTAAGGCAATAAGTGGATTTTACCCATATTCAATGTATTTTCTAAGTCAAAAAGGGGCATAATTCTGTCAAAAACCTTGACAGAGTTATGTCCTCTTGTCTGTTGATGAAGGTCGTGATGGTAAACAAGTATGGTCAGTTTCAAAGCAATATCTCCAATGGTTTTGAAATAAAGTGAGGTGGTACAAAAAACTTAACCAAGCTCAATACACTTTCTAAGTCAAAAAAGGGCCATAATTCTGTCAAAAACCTTGACAGAGTTATGTACTCTTGTCTGTAGATGGAGGTTATGATGGTGAACAAGTATGGTAAGTTTCAAAGCCATACTTGTAATACTTCTGAAATAAAGTGGGGTGGTACGAAAAACTTAACCAAGGTGTGACGCCGACGCCGACGCCGGGGCGAGTAGGATAGCTCCCCTTTTCATAGAAAAGTCGAGCTAAAAATGGCTGTTTTCATTGAAAAGCCTCCTGTTACAAGCTCAAACTGCTATGATTCTATGAAAAATTCTTCTATACTAATTTAAACTTGGCACAAATGTTGACTGGACCATTGCCTTTGTAACGACATGCTCAGTCTTAAGTTTCCTGTTACCATGGCAACGAGGGGACATATCAAAATTGCCAAAAATCACTATTTTGCCTCGACTTTTTCCATCAAAATTTATTTCAAAGTGCTGCAACTTCTCAAGAGATTGAGATAGAGTCAAAGGCTTTTCAGCGTTGGTTACATGTTACCTTATGATCGACCTGGGGTCATTTTATGTCTCTCACAAGTCCAAAATTTTCTTGGCGATGAGGGGGACTCCCAACCCCCTTCAAACCCCCCAAACAGAAGGGGGCACATCCCCCTTCTGACAACCCCATGATGTATCTTTTGGATGGGGTCCGCGCCGAAAAAGTGCTCACTTTTTTTAGCAACATTTCTCAAACAAAAACATGTGTTTGGGGTCCAAATAGGACATTTTTTCACTATTTGAGGCCTAAAAGAGGGGGGGTCTAAAGTGCATTGTTTCGCGTATATATGAGGTAAAGGGTTAATGTATTCTTAATATTTACATGTATCTATTACACTTGAAATAAAACAGAAGTTTGTGCAAGTCTTGAAGTGCAAAACGTGAAGAAATGAATGAATTATGATCAAGATGGGTCATCTTATTTTTAATGATCAAATGTATGCTACAAGTAACATGTACATGTTGTAAGTAAAGTTCACAATATTTTACGACATTACTTTTCATATATTTATAAAGCAGAACAGGATTGTTTAATTGTGAGATTAAATTCAAATTAGATGCCGGAGACAGAATCTAAACTAAAACAGGTCATGGTCAAACTGCATATTAAAAATTAAAATTACATATTATAATTATAGAGACATTGTAACGACACAGAGGTTCCATTATCATCTAACTTATTAATGACTCACTTGTCTCAGTCAGAAAGATGTTCATATATATGCAATTATGAAATGTGGTCTATCTAGCCTGCCTAAAGGGCAGTACATAACTTACAATGTACTTCAATGTATTAATATACTATTTTAAATTATGCAAGTGATAACATGGCATAATATTTTGATAAAATTTTATACATATTCTATCAGTTAATTAATACTACTAGTACTTGGGAAAGGGTCTGGGTCCTGTCTTCTTGGAAAAAAATATGCAGAGTGATGACTAAAATTGATTTTTTTTCATTAAGACAATTTCATTTAAATTTGTTGTTTGTTTTATTTATCTAAAGTTACATTATTGACAGATACATGTGTCTCTATATCTGTTTCTTTTGAAGATTTAATATGCTCCCCTCGTTAACATGTTCCATCCAAGCATTCTAAATTAAAATTGTCAATATTTTTGGTGCAAAAATGATTTCTAAAGCTTCACTATCTACATCTGTGATGTAATTGGGAATACTTTGATTTGGAATTGGGGAAAAACTGTCTGCATATTCAATAAGGTAGGGTGACCAGGGTCCATTTATTTTACAAGACCCTAACAAAGAACTAAATTACTGTCCACACTAAACCTCATCTGCATTATAATTTATACTGCTTCAACATTATTATTATTATTGTAAATATTATTAGGTTTGCTCAGTTATATGCTTCATCACAGGCATTCAGCACAAGCCGCATTGTATATTTTATATAGTAAACCCAGTCATCGAATTTTAAATAGCACTGGCCCGGTGGCCCATGGCCAGTGAAAATTAGTTTGGGCCAGTAAAAATTTTAAGAAAATTTAGTAAAATATATAGTAGAATAAATTCAAAACTGGAATTCGGGCTAGTAAATTCAAAATCTTAAATTAATTGACTGTAAACCGTAGCTGGATATCAACTTGCCGTGTCTTCAAAATTTGAGGGGTAAAGTGTTGGGGGTGGGGGGTTGAAGTGTCTTGTTTCTCTTTTTAACACCTGATCACAAATTTTGACGCTATTCGGTATAATTTACATCATATGCAGTGGCACTTTACGGTTTTGACTTTTTTGTCACTACACAGGCAGCTGAAAATTTACAGAAGAATCAGTTATTAATGGATTATATATAATTCATTAAATGTGCTTATTATAATGAGGATAACTCATTTGATAGAAATACCCACCATCTCGAGCCCCTTTCAAATCCATTTGTATAGGAGTGTCTTCAACTGATGTGTTATCATAAACAATTACTGCAGCTGCATCTCTAGCAAAATATACTTTTTCATTAAAATTACATGTCCCTCTCTTTACAAGAGCAATCCATGGCTCATCTTTAGGTATTATTGCTGGATCAAGCTCGCTGCATCCTAATTCACTTTTATTATACAAAGTTTGAACTTGTACTAGTTGCCCTTTGATAGGGCTTGAATTTATTCGAGCATTTTTTCCGTAATTTCCCGTACCAAAATCAACTCGATTGAATTCAACTTCTTTATTAATTCCATTTACATCTATATAACTCAAAGAAATTCTAGCTTCTGTCAGCTTGTCTTTATCTTGTTCGTGCGAGCATATCACAAATGGAGATGTGAACAATACATATAAATACGCATAAAATATGCACACATCCATCTTAGACCTCCATCTTGTCGAAATTATACGAGTGTGTGTAAAAATTTCCATGCCGTATGAAATGAATATCTTACAACATCTTACAACATAAGGAATTTGAATAATTTTAAACACCGTTTTGGATCACATGTACTATAATTCCAAGAGTTGAAGACACATACATGTCCTAAATGGCCTTGAAATTTCACCAAAACAAACGGAGATCTTGATTTCGTCACCTCTAACTTCATTCATGCTAGTGTGTGTTATGGTACAGCATGACGTCATAACAGGTGACCGATTAAAGCGCCCTCTGTAAACATTCAGTATCTAGGGTAGACTAATCTCACTAGCCTAAAGCATGAATTATGTAATACAGCCTATTACAGGACTATAAAGTTCTAAAAGAGGAAAATTCAAACAAAGATACCTAAAGCTAGATCTTCCAATCCTATGACATCTTCATTATGTTTTTTTATCTATACAAAATTACAAGCCGTTTCTGACGTGAGTAAGTAACTTAACTAGAAATTAATAAGTATATTTTTAGTGACTTCGCGCTTTTTTAACTGGATTTTTTCCCGGGATTTGTGTACTATTTAGGTCTAAATCAATAACATGCGTGCAAATTTTCAGTTCACTCCCTAACCCCGTTTTCAACAATAATCGTTTTTATTGTGCAAAATGACCCAAAAATGTTTTGCAATCAAATCGGACTAAGAATTGCCATGATTGCGCTAAAATTGATTTTCAATTTGTATATTTCTTTAATACACTTTTTTCCGTTTCAAGTGGTTCGCTTGATCTATGTAAAAATTCCATTTTTTCAAGCTTTTTGATCGAAGTGGGTCTCCTTTAATAACGTTGCGCTAGAGAGAGATTTAATTAAGGCCTAGAATCTCTATATCACCTTGAATTTTCAAAGGGAAAACAGTTTCCATATATCCAATTGTTCAGATTATTTCATAGATAAAAATAGTAGAATATACATTTATTCCTTAATTAATACATAGACTCTCCTATGATGAGTTTTCAAAGCAAATTGCCCGATCAATACTGAGAGACTCTGGGTTCATGAATTATATATAATAATGATATATAGCCTAATTTTGGGTCTGAATAAAACATTCACGTTCGAATTTGTCGCAGACAGTGGTGAAGGTTTAATGATGCCTTATACAACCGGTTTTTTTTATCTACAACTTAAAGATAGAATAGCAATTTAATGAATTTTACAATAAACCGTTGACATGTGATATCTCTGAAGTGACTAGATTTTGAATATAGTCAATACAAGTTTATTCCATGTCATCCGCCCGTTAAGTCACAAAAAGCAGCTTTCGCTGTCGAGTGCGGACCATGTCACCAGTCCTTAATTTTGAAAACACAAAGCGATACTAATTTACCCACAGAGAAGTAACCAAAAAAAATTGAGCCGAAAGAAGGTCACTGTACAGCGGTCAAGGAGCAACTTACCAAACGTATATAGTAACCAGCGTCAATAATGAAGGAGGTAGGGCTGTATCTGCCAACACATATGCGCTGCTGTTGAAAGCCGCCTCTTCGTTAAGTTTAATAAAAAATTATGCATGTATTTGTCCATGCATATAAAAATACAGATACAAATACGAAAAGAAACCTATACAAAAAATGGGCCACGAGTTATATTAACAGCAAACTGGCTGTTCCATATCTGTCTGGGTCTTCTTTTCCCCCCTTTTTGAAGGTCCTTAAGCGACTTTCCAGCTTTACTGGTGGATAAAAGACCTGACCTCAGGTTTCCTCCTGTGCATTATTTAAGGCATGAACGGGCACTCGAGTAGAACCTGCGATATTCCGTAAGCTGACTGGATAGCTGACGTAAAAAAAATCAAATTCCCTATCGGGATTTGGCGCTTTGTCGTGTTGTCGCTAGCGACAGGACGACAAGACGAAACCAAACGACAAACACAGGATCACGTCACATATAACAAAAATAAAATTTCTTAACGTTTCTAAACGCAAAATGTACTACAATAGAGCTAAATTAACAATTAAGAATGTCCACTGGCATACATTTAGAACATTAAGAAATGAAGAAGTATCTCTAAATCGCACTGTAAAACAAAACTATTTTCAAACAATGGCCGATTCACTAAAATGAGAACCTTACTTTCTAAAGATTGGTGGAAACTCCTTATAGATTTCATCTTTCAAGCTGATAAACCAATTAAGTATCCCTTCCCTATTTAATTCTGCTGTTATGTTTGATTCAAACTCGGAAGCAAATATTCTGAATGAATTTTGAATTTCTTTTTCTGCACAATCTTCAATTAACAAATTTAGCACTGACCATCGTAGAAACTTCTGCCAATCCAAGAAACAAACTAAAAATGTGTACACTGCCCCTCAAGATGTAGAAGAACTCTGAGATCTTAGAAAAAAACAAATAAAGCTTCAAGGCTGATGAAAATGATAACAGAAACCTACTGGAAACTGCACCCGTTCTGAAATAACGTCTATGTCTTAGAATATCCTCTTTTCAACACAGTAAGGTACCCCTAGTGTGGAAAGATGCAAACGTCTGTACAATCTTTAAAAAAGGTGATAGTTCACTACCAAACCTTTGTTTTGTTGTAAAGCAAAAGTCTTTGGACGCACATGTATTATATTTAAGAACGTTTTTTAACTTTTTTCCTTGATAAATTCCTTTCTTCTGATCAATCTGGATTAACACCAGGAGATTCAACGATCAGCTTCTAATTTATTTAATTTATACACTACATTTTGTAAGGCTCTCAGTAAGAACAGTATTCTTTGATTTAAGTAAAGCTTTGACATAATGGTCTTCTTTTTAAATTAACAAATGCTTGATAAGGCGGGAAATTGCTGGATTGGTTCTCTGATTATATCTTTACCAGACGTCAATTTGTTGTTCTTCCGGGAGTTCAGACTAATTGGTCAACTCCTCAAGGATATATTCTTAAGCGGCCATTGTTCATGGTATTCGTCAATGATAATGTTGATGACTTGAATATTTGCCGATGATACCATGATACCAGTTTGTACATAATTTTTGACTACACAATTTCACAGAGGCTTGGAGGTCACATCCTGCCCCCTTCCCCAACGTGACTGCCCCTGTATTAAAACACTCTATCAAAAATATTTTAATATTTAAACACGAATGGGGATTCTGTTACAACGATAAAACTGGTTTTCATATATGAAAAAATACCGTTTACCATCAAGTCTCAACAAAGTATGAGTATTGACTATGCAGTCAAGTTTACACACAATGAAAAACTTGAGCTTTGTAAAATTTAACACGAAGCCGCTTGCATATTTTCAGTGGCCACTTAGCTTGTACATCTTCGTGAACTTCAAAGAGAAATACCTTAAGAATCCCTCGAGCGCCGAAAACAGAATCACAAACAGTTTACTAATTCTGTGCAACAAAATGAGTAATGGTCTCATAATCGTCTTTAGTTCCACTATATATCTGTTGAAGAAACGTCTAGTACAGTTAACGAAATACAAAAAAAACACCAGCAAAACCTTCTCTTTACCATAATGCATTTCTGCCATCTACTTAGAGAGTGTGGAACTCACTCACTAGAAAAGTACAAAGCTCAATATATTTGTCCTCCATAAAGTTGAAAATTAAAGATAACAGAAGATATGCCCGAATATTTTTTATATAGGTTAAAGAAAAGGGCTAATCCTTCACATCCGAGTCCAAATAGAATGTAGCTCTCTTAACCATCACTTATTCAGGAAAAACTTGTGAATTTATGAGCTTTATTGCTTTCGGCTTTAATGTACTTTTAGCATAGCTCTTTCAATCAAACTTATATTATGAATAACAGCCGAGATGTTCCGATGCAATAAGCTATTTTAAATGCTGCATGCCTCCATATGAGACAAATGTTTTAAAAGAAAATCAAACTTGGGAAAAGTGTACAAAGATTTTAAGAAAATTAAAAAGATTCAAGATTAAAGGAATAATTTATATGTTATGTGCTGATTTTGTAGTATTTTCATCATATATTTCTTCTGCGTGGCTAAAGTAGTAAAGGATTTTTTTTTGGCATATTTTGTTCTCTGTTTGGTAATTTAGTTGAATTTTATATGCCGTTTGCAAAGTGTAAATTGTTTGTTCACTTCTCAATATTTAACTTTACATTTAATACATTTACTTTTAAAAATTCCATAAAAATTAGCATGAATCTGATGTCAGGTTGCTTTAAACTAACCTTAATAAAAATGATGAGCGAAAAGAACATTCTGGAATCTGGTTAGTGTCATTTTGATGCGAGCACCTGGAGGCCGTTTCATGAAGCTCGATACGACATTTGAAGTCCGACGCAGGGGCATTAATTAGTAAACTATAACAATTTTGACAATTTTATAAATGGATATATAAAAGTCCGACGCAGGGGCATTAATTAGTAAACTATAACAATTTTGACAATTTTATAAATGGATATATAAAAGTCCGACGCAGGGGCATTAATTAGTAAACTGTAACAATTTTGACAATTTTATAAATGGATATATAAAAGTCCGACGCAGGGGCATTAATTAGTAAACTATAACAATTTTGACAATTTTATAAATGGATATATAAAAGTCCGACGCAGGGGCATTAATTAGTAAACTATAACAATTTTGACAAATTTATAAATGGATATATAAAAGTCAGACGCAGGGGCATTAATTAGTAAACTATAACAATTTTGACAATTTTATAAATGGATATATAAAACTATATGACAATTTTCCGGAAAAGATTCTGTAGAGAAGTATTAAAATATTTGAAATAATATTTTAAAGCAATTGACGTCTTGGTAATACTTATGACAAGGTTCTACGTATATAAGTCACAGATAACAGCTTTGAGGAACATATTCATCACCAAGTTATGACAGTGACACCCACCATATATATCAGTCACCAGTATATACTATAAGTGGCATTAGCACGTGTTAGTAAAACGTGATACTGATATTGAAGTACTATACAGTATTATTCAATTTCAATTCAATTAATTCAATTTGCTGTGAAATAAATTTATTTACATTGTTTTGGGTATCAAATCCTAGTTTGTTGGTTGTTTTGTTAGTGTCAGTCTATACCAATTCGCCCGTCCTACCGTTCGTTCATTTGTTTGTTGGATATCTCTTTTAAACAAAGAAAAATGCTTCAGAAGGAGACTATCTTTGAATGTGCATATTAGACTTAAATTGAATTAAATTCTCACACCTCGAAACCTCTTGCCGATCACAAGTATATATAGTAAACCGAAAGAGC